GGGGGGTTTATTTATTTTTGTTGAGATGAAAACCCTTTCAGTTTTTGAAAGTTCTGATTTTTAAGATCCACATTAATTTAGGAGCAAGCAGTTCACTTCTATTTTACTAATGCTTTAATACGAAATTGCTGCGATAAGTTCATGAAAGTAAATACAATTTTTAATAAATAAGAAATTAAAATGTGAGTCACGTTATTGAGAAGGAAAAAGAGTGTTCATATTAAACAAAAAGTACGATAAATTAATTTTAGGCATACAGGCAGGTTCTGCAATTCACTTCCGAGTGAATTTCAACCCCTGTCAATTAGAATTCAAAGCGAATTTCATTGAAATTCACTCGGAAGGGAATTGCAAAACCTGCCTGATAATATAAGTCCTCAGAGCATCTCTATTAAAAAGATTGGTCAAAATTACTTTGAAATCTCGTTATAACATTACTGTGCTCATTAAGAACGTGCTGCACTTTTGCTTTGTTCAAAAATAATCTCCATCGGATACTTTAAATACAAAGATTATAGAAATTAAAAAAAAAAAACTATTTCATCCGATGCAACTTTAAGAAAATTAAAAAAGCACCTACCAGATAAGTATTTTGTTTAGTTTTTAAGTTCTGTCTTATTGAATTCGTTGTATTATAACATAACTATCAGAATATTGATTAACAAGTGAGCTACGCATAATACAATAAAGTGTAATTAAAATACTCTACACATCCCACAGCTGGTTTGGTTTAAAAACTGTTGTGTGATAATATATATACATAGGTAAAGCTTTCGAGTTGCCTACAAAACTTAGTAGGGCTATTCGCGATCCGGTGCAAATGGCCTAGCATCATTGCATTGCAAATTTGTATTGCAAATTATTTGCAATACACAAACAAAATACACGCATTTGCATTTGTCATGGCTTGGCAAATTTGCAATACCGAAAATCCATAGCATAAAAATGCTATGCATTGCATTCATAAAGAAAACCAAAGCTGATGCACAAAAATTGTTTTGCAAAAGCTTTACCATGACAGTTTAATAAAGGTCGCTCACAATCCATGGCATATTTCTGCAATTGCATAAATTTGTCAGCTCTTATGCACCGAATCGCGAATAGCCCTAGTGTTATTTTTAATACATATGTATGTTGCAAAAAACAAATGCCTCTTAATAGTAAAAATATGAATTATTCAGCCTCATTGCGAGTGGCGTGTCGAATGCAAGTCGTTTTTCGAGTCGAGTCGTATCGAAAAGTACACGGTATTGCCTAAAAATTCGATTCGACTAGTGTATTAAAATGGAAAAATTTGGCAGCACTGTACCTATTTCAGCACGACAATATCTATCTAATCTCATTTACGACGTACGCAATGAGGCTGATTAATTACATGTGACTGTTTTTTTTACTGAAATTTTAGCATCTAATGAAAGCATTACCAAGTAGCTGAAGGTAGGTAATTATTTGTAAACTTATTTCGTATATATACATGCATTAAAATTTTAAAATAAAAATAAAAATACTTTTATAGTTAGTTGTAATTAATTCTATTATAAAACTTAAATGTACATTTATTATTTACATAGCTAAATAATGATTTGCTTAAAGGCACTTGACAGACTTTGTGTTAACAATTTTGTAGCTGCATTTAGTATTTATATAGTGAATATGGATTGTGCTTTAGCGAGGTACATACTTCTACAATAAGTAGTGAAACATTTAGTTACACAATCAAACTTCTCTCTTCTTTTGTCTCTCCTCCAGGTTTTCGATCCAATCGCACTATATGGTTATTTAAAGCTATAATAAATTACTAATACCAGTGATGTGCAGTAAAATATTGTGACTTCCTTTGGCCACCTTTGTGATACGCGCAAGCGGTTGAGTCTTCCTAATAAATTAATTTGTGCATTCGCAACAGTTACGCAATTTTTTTTTTTTGTTAAACGCAGCAGCAGATGGTAACGTTCTGTTAAGTATTTCATGTAAACGTTTCCCTTTTTGTCTGCTTTTCTTATGCATTTCATGTTAACGATTTGCCTTCCATTTTCATTTAAGGACACTTGTGGCTTGACTTCTATCTCACAGTAGGCAAGTAAATTGCATTATTAGCATTTGCTTGCGTATTGGCATTGTGCACGTTGTTGGTTTCTTGCTGCCAATTGTATGATTGTCTATTATTTGGATGAATATAGCCATCTTCACCACCCATCGGCCAATTTATCGTAAATGGCTTTTCCGTTACATTGGGCTGTAGCGCATTAGGATGCACATAACCATTGTCCACTTCTGCTACTGTATTTGACACATTTGTGTTTGGTGTTGTCATCACCGTGTAGCCGGCCGTTATTTCTTGTACAGTTTCGAGCGATTGTGTAGTATTGCACAAAGTCATAGGATCATGTATGCAGTAATCACCAGCATTTTCGGAGCTCTCGTAATAACTACTTTTTGTAGTAGGCCATGAATAACCACTGCCATCGTTCGAATATTCAGAGTCCTTCGAAATGCTTGGCAACAAGCGCCCGTTTTCACTGTAGTACTGTTGTTTAATACTATGTTCCACGCGTTCCATATCCTGTTCCCCTAATTTGCTGTCATTTCGATTTACTAAATCGTTCAAGTGCTCAGGAATCTTACATTCAATCGATGCCATTTCATGACATCTTCTATAGGTTAAAAGTCCAGCCATTACGATGAGCGAAGATCCCAGTATTGACACAAATATGGTAATCCAAAGTTTACCGTCAGCTCTTGCAACTGTACCACAAACATAATTAAAGACGATTACTTCCACAGATCTATATTCTATATGTGTTTTGTAAACGTGCAGCGGTGAAATTACTGCCTCAACGCAGCCCAATTCATCATTCGCAGAAGTAACGTATATATCATGCATGTGACTATTATTTTGAATATGCATAAGATTTGCATCGATTTCATTAAAATATGCAATATTAATGCCACGCACACCAATCGTATACTTAAAATCGCTATTGTAGCAGCGTGGCTTTCGTATAGTACACTGCATGCCATTTGTTATACGCGAAATGTGACGACTTTCTATACGCTCTCCTAGTTTCGTTTCAACGATTACTTCGTAGTAGTCAACGCGTCCAGAAGGCACTTCAGGTTGTCGCCAACGGATTACGATATCTTTTGAATCGTCGAATTTCGTATGAGATGGACTTGATGGAACTAAAATAAGAAAAGTTTAGTAAGTGACTGCATGTAGTGAACAATATTTTAACATACCGCCGATTAATGTTTGTATGTGCACACAATTGCTAGGTAGTGAATGAGCGACAGTATAAGCTTTCACACAAATGGTATAATTAGTAAAACTACTCAAGTTTCCCAAAGTGTAGAAAATATGTTCATTGCGACCGCTTTTTCTGCTCCCGGACAAGCAATGTGAACCAATTGTATTATTACAATACAAAATATGACTTTCGCCGTTGTACCTAAAACAAGGAAAAACACAAAAAATGCAATAACGAATTAAGGCGTTATATGTGTATGTAGATATATTTAGTGCATATCACTTACAGTATAACGTAGTAGCGTATCCTGCCATTTGATATGTATGGCGAGAGCCAACGTAGCACTACTGACTGGCTTGTTATGCGCTCGTAAGTAAGATTTCGCGGTGAGGTTGGCGCTGAGGAATATACTATTTCTTCAGAATTTCACATTAACAATTTAATATTGGAACATACCTGCTTCATTTGTTTGCAATACTAACTCATCACTTATTGGACCCGACTGAACATCAGAATACATAACCATTTCCATTTTATATGTACTATCCGGTTCTAAGTTAGTAATCTCAAACTTGTTATCGTTTTTGTCAACACTGATGCTAATTGTTTTGTCCAAACACTTTAACTTTGTTGCAGATTTCATCTTACAATAAGTAATTGTATAGCCTTTGATAAGCGATGCACATACGCGCTCTGAACTCCAGCGTACTGTTATGCTATATGCTTTCTTCTCAACTATTTCCGGTTCTAATTTCTCCAAATCGTTTGACACATCTGCAGTACATTTGGCCCAATGCATGCCGGTGTAGAAATCTGGATAGTTGGCAGCTACGGCAAGAACTAGCGGTTGACTTTGTTGAATTTTGAAATTTCTGGCATTTCTATTTAGTTGCCTAAATCCGATTACATTCTACAATGGGGAAGAAATTAGCAAATTATCTATTGAGGAGTACTTATAGCAGTTCAACTGCGAAAATCGATAATTGTACAAATGACAAGAGCCAAATTTTATTTAATTTAATTTAATGACAAAAAGTATACAGACAGTATACTAGTAAATATCTTAACATTTGCCCAAAACTTTTAATCTTTCTTCCTCATGGTATTCACTCGTCAAAAATATCTACAGAACTGTGGCAAATCCATTTTCAAAGCTGCTATTATTAGAGCTTGAGCAACTAATCTAAGGTTTTAAGCACTTATTAGTCGCATATTAAAGGCTTTAGTTTCAGCTGATTAATATGCAACGGTCCAACAAACGTTAAAGTTAGATCCTCTTTTGATTTTTTAACTATGGAATTAACTACTAATATAATAAGTAGTAGCAAGTAGTACTCACATGACATTCATTGGATGCGACGCTTTTCGGTTTGCACCAAAAAACCGTATAGCTTTCTACATTCGCAGAATCCTCTGGCGAATTCCATAGCAAAGTATATGTACGTTGCAATGCATGGTAAACATTTCGTATGCCAAGCGGTGTTCTGTTATCGTAGTTCTTCGGGAGAGAAGGTATACGTATTTGGCTACTATTTAATGACACGCCCTGTTCGTTACTACTCCGTATTTCAAATATATAGCTACGAGCGCTGTTCCATGGAAAAGCCACCGTAGGCGCTTGAATATGCAGTGGTGGTTGATCTCTAAAAATAAATCGTGACAAAAAAAATTGCTGATTATGCTTCAAATGCTCATAACAATAACACACTTACACAGCAACATCCTTTTCTTCCATTTGCTTCACAATGTAATGAAAATTTGAACCATTTCGATGATATTCCGGCGTAGGATACCAAAATAAGCGCAGATGCGTCGCATTCAAGTAAAAGCTACTCACATCAACTGCTGGTGGCACCTCCGGCGCAGAGGGCAACGTTTGAAAATCAATACTGTAGGGGTCACTCCAAGTCGCCGTAGGCATCCGCATTTTTATTCGCAAGCTTACATTATACTGATAATAGGAGTATGGTAAATTACCAATTGGTAAATGAAATATTGAATGATTATTGCATCTGTTGCAAGTGTACGTTTGTAAGCTTTCGTAGTCTGGAGAATACAAATGTACCTCCATTTGCAAACGGCTTAATTTGTATGAAGAATAACGTTCCATTTCCCATATGAGCATACAACCATGTGTTGAAATTCTATCAACGTGAAAGTCGCTAATTGCTGGCTTTACTGAAATTAGAATTGTAACGTATGTATGCAAGTTAAACAGAAGCAGGTTTTAGCTATTGGGTAGCCAAGAGAGCAACATCGAAAACAGAGCTGCATATTTGTATCGGAATTAATGTCATGGTGGCATGTAAAAAAAGCTAGCATATTTCACCTTAAAAACTAGCAGCTACTTTCTTGTTAACCCAATGCATTTCAATGATAGATGTAAATCACAAAATTATATGTAGTATGCATAGGTACTTACCAATTTCTTTGTGATTTACAGTGAAATTCTGTTCGAGAGCACCCAACGTATTATTGCTTTGTAAAAGGAATTTGTAGTACTCGAAATTGGGCTTGTAGCTACCATCGTCCAATGTAAAATTGCAAGAGGCACTGTCGCCTTCTTTCACCAACTTTATGCAATTAAGTATATAGTTCTGTGAATATATCGTGCGATTATCAGCCGTTCTTCCCTTGTGTGTTTCATGTGTCATGTTTTTAATTGTTATTGGTTTTTTCGTGCCATGTTAGTATTTTTTTATAAGTGCATTCGAAGTAAGTAGAGGGTAGTATGTAGGAGTAAGTAGTATGTGTATGTTAACATTTAGTGGTTGCGTGGGTGTGTTAAACGCAGCGAGCATTCAATATTAGTCAAAAAAAATCATACAATACAGGACATGCAAACCAAAAAATAAAATAAAAAATTGTAATTAATTCGAAATAAAAAGTGTAAATAAGGAAAATAAAAAATAAGTTTTAGTAGTAGTATAATGGAGAACTTCTATTTAAATTAAATAACTTTTTCACTCCCAAACTTGGATTGGAAATGTGTGGATGTGTAATTTTAACGATTTGTTTCAAAGGATAATCATTTTCAAGTAGCTTAACTGCTATAATTCGTCGGCTACTAGGAGCTGATTCGGAGACTAGTTAACCAGTTTTCAACATATCTTCCATAAAATATTTGTAAAGCATTTTCAATCTTTGAATTCAACAGAATGCATTTGCATATGTACATAGAACACACATTTCTCTTTTTTTCTTTCTTACTGGAATTCTAACAATCCTCTATTATATGCAGGAACTTGTTAAGCGAAAAAGGTTCCAGTTCATTTTAAGATAAATTCTTTTAAGATTTTTCTGGCGAATATAATACTTATGTACGTAATAAAAATAAAACCAATATAAATACCTAAGCGTATAAGCAAAGCTAAGCATGAGTTATCTAAAGATATGTGTATGCATGTAAGACATTCAATATCAATTTAATACTCCCTAATGTATGTATGTACATTAAAGTAGTCCAATTTTTTATGGGGAAAGTATTTCATCCTAGAAAACGGGGCACCCCTTAGTTTTTTTTTCAATAGTTGTAATATCTATACCAAGTTTCAGTTTTATACTGCAACCAATACAGGGTGCTCAATGACCTTGAAGTGCACTACTGGATCGCATGTGAAACTGGTAAAAATATTGGTGATTTTTATAAAAAGGTACTGTTGCCATGACAACTGAAGCTTGTACTATTTTTTTTAGATAATTTAAATTTGAAATGTTCTTAGGTTACTTAACCAATTGTTTGATTAATATATGAACGTAATACTTCTAGAGTAAAATATGATCATCATGAGCATCCTCCAAATTTATACTTTGTAACGTACCAGCACTTTTTCGGCACAAGGAAAAATTTTGTAAGGAGCCCCAGACCATATCTTGGAAACAATTTTTTTGGACCACTCTAATGTACATAAACGAATCACTTTTTTAACTTACAGCATTTTGTGTTACATATTTCAAGTTATATGTTGTTGGTATCATATTAGCGGGAATGGTAAAAGAACATGTCATGTAAATGAAGTCGTATGCCTGGCAACTAAAATCCGCCACTGGTAAAGGTTTCGTACCTAAAATATACAAAACAAATAACTATAAATATGTATGTATGTAGATGCACAACTGTTTACCAAAGTTGGTCTCTAAAAAAACATGTACGACAGTAATTATTACGCTCAATTAAGTAGCGTTTAAAGTCGAACATGCAGTTTTATGTAATTATAATATTGATTATACTACAAGTATTCGCTTACCAACAATAACATCGGTACTCGCAATAGCGTATTGGCCGCTTTTACAAGTGTAAGTTGTATACTGCTCACTAGCATTTTGCAGTGTGTAAACAATAGTTGTCGCATTCAGGACCTGGAAAAAATAATTAATAATTTAATTTAAGCTACAATTTTGTGTACATAAGCCCGAAATTCTCCATACGTACCACAATATTTTTTGGTGTAGTTTTATATTTTGGATCTTCAGCTGTAAAATACAGCGTTGAACTATTCTTTCCACCAAACCTTTTCAAATTCATACGACAAGTGATGTTAGCGCTGTCTCCAATTTCCATAACAATCGTAGGACTTGTTTCTATGAAAATTAAATAAAAAAGAAGCACAGAAACTATTAAACAGAAATAGTCGTAAGAAGTTTTGAAATGTTGCAGGTTATACAAATGTATATAAATGCAAGTAAACTTTCTTTGTGAGGAAAGTTCATTACTTACCACCTGGTGACTGTGCGTATACATTTAAGATTATACATTGTGTATAGAAGCAATAAAACGTAGTAAGTAGTAGGCATCTGAAACTAAAAGAGAAAAAACGTCAATTAATGTGAATATGCATAACTGAGGGCATATGAATAACTAACTCAAGTTCGGCCATATTTTCTAAGCAAAATCTCTGCATCGCACATTTCACGTTAATGCGTTTTGCTATGACTCTATAACTAGGTTTTTTGGTGAAAGCTAATGGAACACAAACCCTGAAACAAAACGCATTGTGTGGGGCTGCAGGGCCGTGGGGAAGCAATCGACACCAAAAAAATATATATATGTATATACATTAGACTGCATCACTCCCCATACAAAAAAAAATCGGTACTCTTTTTCCATTGGAATTATAAAATCTATTATATTTTAAGACGTCCACCAAAATATTTCGAAAAAATATTAATATTTAAGTGAGCGGGACCGATTTGAAAATACCTCCAAAGATGGAGTTTTTTATGAATAAAAAAAGTTTCTTAAAGATTTTTTTTTTTTGAAAAAATCCCCTCAAATGACAAAACGGCTTAAGCTTAAAAAAATATTTTTAAAAAATTTAACAAAAATTTTGAACGGAATTGTAATAATGAGATTTTTGATACTGCTTTTAACTTTTTTCAAAGATTGATAGAGGAAAAACTTGAATAACTGAACCTAAACTCTCTCCGATTTAGACTTGTGAGATATCATTGGAAAGGTATTTTCTCACCCTTTTTATTTCTTTGCTAATAAACTCATTCAAAGGATGAAAGAGAAAGGTAGGATGAACGAATATCATTCAAAGTTGAATTAAGATGTGTGGGTATTTGAAAAAATAAAAAATATTGGGACACGAATGACTTTTTTTGCACATAAAAATAAATAGTAGGAAAATATCTTTCTACCGAGATCCCATAAGTCGTAAATGAAAATAGTTTTGGCCCAGTTATTTAAGTTTTTCGTAAATGAATCTTTGAAAAAAGTAAAAAAAACAGCATCGAAAATTTCATTATTACGATTCCGTTGCAAAGATTTTTAAATGTTTTTATGCAGAATTTTTAAGCCTAATTTGTTTTGTCTTCTGAGGGGACTTTTTTCAAAAAGTTCTTTAAGAAACCATTTTGATTCATAAAAAACTCCATTTTTGGAGGTATTTTCAAATCTGTCCAGCTCGCTTAAATCTTAATATTTTTCCGAAATATTTTGGTGGACGTCTTAAAATATAATAAATTTTGTAATCCCGGCGGAAAAACCGCAACTTTTTTGGTGATGCAGTCTAATATATATATATCTACGTTAGACCTTACCAACTTGCAGCGAGCAAAAAGAAAGCACACGCCTGAATCTAGAGTGGCATGAGTACATTTTTTTTAACTTTATTTTATAAATTGCATTTCATACAAATATTAGGCTTTATCACAAACATAAGTATTTTTACAAAAGCTTGGCCAAACGCCTAGCAAGGGATGTACGCACGTTCATTTAAGGACAATTTGTTTCATTTTGGCATTATATGAGGTATATCCCTACAGCACCAAAGAGCATCTGTTAGTGCCTAAGTTGAGAAGCTCTAGCATTTTAAGGAAATAAAAATGTATCCATAGTTAGATGTTTATAAGTTATGTATAAGACTATTTTTCAATATAAAATTACTAAAATACGGCACCCTCTTTTGCGATTGGGAAGATAAATGCATCTGTTTACTGATAAGCGAAAAAGTAGTTGGATACACTCTCCTCATTATTCTATATCTACTAATAACTGAAACAACAATAAACTTCTGGTAGTTAGGGCAAAAGAACATTTTAACCGACCGTCTGTATAGGCCACTTTGTGGGTTTGGGTCCTTGGGTTTCGCCAAAGTAATTACGAATGAGCTAAATCTTTCAAATAATATGGTAGATCTATGTGGTTGATTAACTGAAAGTAATTTTAAGGTGAAATTCTTCATAATTGCATCATATTTCATGATGCAAGATGCCGAGGTATGAATAAAACGTTCTAAAGAGCTTATGGAATTAGTTCACCTTAAGGGTATCGAGTCTTAGTATTAACCAATAACCTCAAACTGGCTATGTATTCTTCCAGACTGTCTATTCGTAGTCAACATAATACAGAAAACCGCCTAAGGTGCAGTTTGAGACAAGTTGAAGTGTGGTGGGCAGAGCACTACGGTATTGTCATGTTTTCCATAGCTTGGTATTTGTGCTGTCCCTGTGATCACCGTCAATTATAGATAAAAAAAAATGTACTTGATTTTATAGAAAATCATATTAGTACTACATGAATGTTGGAAAAACCCAAGAGAAAGGGTGTCCAATAGATTAACCACACAAAAATACCAGTAAACTACGCGGAAGCCTTTATGTGTAACACTTGACTTTCTTCTTTAATGGGAATGATCCAGCGGCACTGCTATTTTTTTTAACGCAGCTGTATACTATACGCTTTCGTTTCCAATAAAAATTAGGCTGATATAATCTACGTAGAAATATTAAAATATATTTAAAGTTGTGACTGGTGTAAAGTAATTATGTATGAATCAAAAGTTTCCATTGACAAATGGCCTTATTCATAAAAAATAAAATAGGCTTAAAAAGCTTTATAAAGTGACATTTTCATACAAATTTTCGATTTATTAAGCAGTCAAAGTCTTCTTTATCTTTTATGAATTTGTGCGAAAAATTGCAGCTTCTTATTTTTTTTTCACTAGATTAATGAAATTTAGTCATTTAGCGAGGGGTTACTAGTGAAATTGAGATAATTAGGACACTTTAAAATGTATGTCGTTTGCCTCTTTTACATGGAATGACCCATATCATACTTTCTAAACTGTACATGCCGAAGATATGACGAAAATAGTAAAAATGTCAAATATGCATATTGCCGCCTGGATAAAACATTGTCGTAGCCGCCATTTTGAAGATTTTTAGTTATAGATGCAGTTATACGTATATTTTACAATAAGATCTTTCGATTGGCGTTATCCACTTTTGGATATCTCCTTTAGTTTCCGAGATTTCCGAGAGCAAAAAGTAACATTAATTTAGTACAAATAATTATCATATTTTGAAAGTGGCTCCCAAAATGTTGACAATGGCATACGAACAAAAATTTTACTCAAGAAAATCCTCCATGAACTCAAAATTAATTAACAATAAAAATTAAATATTTTAAGAATTTTGTCCGGGACTTTGGAGAAAAACTATCTTTGCGTTTTTGAGAAATTGCATGCCAGACTTCTATCGCGATTTTCCACAACCGGCCAAAAGTAACATATGGACAATCTTTTACCCACGGGACGATATATAAAAACCCTTAAGAAATTTAATTTTTTTCCTTTAATGCAGAATTTCCACTAAGTATTACATAAATTATAAAATTTGTAACAACATTTGGCTTTAATAAATATTCGTGCTATTACATAAAAAGGTTCTATTTCCACCTGGTATTTTTTTAAATGGCAAACATTTTTTGTCATGTCTCGTGAAAATTCGGGATAAATTATAACTTCTAAAATTACAGTACACAAAGTACAGTAAATAAAGTATAAATTAAATGTTTTTCTTACATATACATACTGTCTATGAGAAAAATTGCATTAGATTAGCAAGGGGGTTTTACAACTATCAGCTGAGAGCGAAAATTTACGCTGAAGACAAGTGATGCAAAATTGTACTTTTTCCAGCTACAAATGCTCCTCTTTAGGTACACGCATTTCAAATATTTTCTTCTTATTTGGCTCTACAACTGTTTTTTAGATTGGGGCGCGACCAAAAAACTTCGCCAATTGCCGCTATCCTTCGTGAATTTGGGCCAGTTGTTCATCACCAGTGCACTTCGTCCTTCTATTTTGTTCGTGGACGCCCTTTCTTTTTTTGCCCTTCCAAGGGTGCGGATTCGAATAATCTTTTCACTGGAGTGTCGTTATTCATGCGTACAACAAGGCCAAGACAGTGCAATCGCTGTTCTTTCAATTAATATAAAAACCTGGTAATTCAATGCAGATAGGTTTTTCTGAGCAGAGCAAGCATCCCTATATTTTTGGTTAATTCCTGAGGACGTAAAAAAATATACCCTGAAGCAGTGCCAATCTCGGTATGAGTCGTAATACATTTGTTTTGTTGCCAAGGAGTACCCTGTGTTTTCTTCATTACCCGTTATACCGGTTGCCTAGGCGAATAATCTAGTACCCCAGTTCGGATCCATGAACCAACGACTACAGATCACGCAATCCGCCATCGTTGTATTTGTAATCGATTTTCAGAAAAAAAGTTTTCGTAGCGTTTTTGATGTTTTTTGGTTCTGTTTACATCGTCTTCTACCTCTTCGTAGTGATATTTTAGCGATTTTATGTGTTTTCTGCAGCGGTTTTAATTAGAAATTTTGATTTATTACAAATTTATGATATAATATGAAGTGCTTTGTGATTGGAACAAGTTTGTGCGTCTGTTTGATTTGCCAAGAGGCGTAAATTTGCGTGAAAAGTGGGTGCACATTTGTGGTCAGAACGTTGGCATTGAAAAATCGGCCGGTGCCGATAATATGCGATTGTAAAACACTCTCAATCATTAAAACCATATTTTATGAACTTTTTTTTGCTAATTGTCATCAAGTTTCACTTTTTATATTTTATAATAAATACAAATCTAATCGCACTCAATAACCGCGCCTTTTTCGTTTTCTTTGTTTGTTTTCATTTTTAGGCAGATGTCAAAAACGCTCAGAAATTTACTTTTTTCATTCTTTTCCGATTGCGTGATCTTGTTAGTTGGTTCATGGTTCGGATCCCCATCGTACAAATACGAAGTTTGGAGTTTCGCTGAGGATCTGTGGGATCGATTTTATAATAAAATGTTTACTTATGCAAATCAGTACGTTTCAAGTACATTAAATTGGTCAAAAAATGCATGAGAAAAAGTAAGGTCGGAATTTCAATGCCGGCAACCCCTAGCACCATTTTATACCGAAAAAATATACCCCTGTTTTTTTATTCTGAAATCAAAAAATATTTAGGAAGTGCTCAAAGCGTTCAAAGTTTTCCAAGTATTTTATATAGGGAAAAAACAACTTTTCGTAGAAATGGTGTAGAATTCTTTAAAATCAATATATTTCGATCGTAAAACTCTGTTTCACTTCAGGAGATTCCCAGTTGTAATACCCTATTGTTTCTTTAACCATTTAATTTTTTTGGTATGTAGTGTTGCAGCCCATTAAATTCTAGTAAAAAAATTAAAGTTCGGAATTAGTCAAAAATCGCATTGATTTTTGAGATTTTTCTTTTTTAAGGTGTTCTTCATTTTTTCCATTTAAAGTATTTTCGAAAAAAAAAAAATTGTATGAAGAGATTGCGTGAAAAAAATTGCCAAAAATCAACGGTAATTCCTAGCTACTTAAAACTTGTACTTCATTATAATAAAGTTCATTGGGCTACAAATCTGCATACTCAAAAAAATCTGATTAAAAAGTTGAAAATTTGTATGAAAATTTGCCTGAAAATTTGCATGAAAATGTGCTGAATTTTCGCGAGTTTTGCGCAAAGTTTAGGAATTATATTTTGATGTTTTTTTGTTGTAGAATGAACCATATTTTTATACAAAATTGGCGGAAAAATATTAGAAGAAAAATTGTTGCATACATTGTGAAAAGTTTGCTTTGCCAATACTTTGTTTCGGCAGTGTAGGTATGTTAGTAGATACATGTATCAAATTAATTGCGTTGTTTAATAAAAAGAAACCGATTTTTCTATGGAAGGTCACAGTAACCTATCTACGTAAAAAAAATTGGCCTTCAATAAAAACAAAAATAATTAGGATGGGTCCAATATCTAAATATTCTAAGGCGTGCTTGAATTACGGCCATCGCTGTATGTATACTTGTTTGAATCTCTTTCGTCATGATCATGTTTTGCGTAATTAGCTTGGCAGTAACAAAACAGATAAACAAATATTTTATCAAGCGTTGTGTGAATGAGCATATAAGTACATATTTTACTGAAAAACTGATAAAATTCTCTCTAAAACAATGATTTCAATAGCCCAACGTTTTTCATAAGAAAATTTAAACTTTGTTTATTAAAGTTTGTTATCTTTCGCTGCATTGCTGATAAATTTTGTATGTATAATAACGAATACATACACCTGCGTTCAACTTTTAAGAAACGGAATTCAAAATATTGTTTGCAAATTATGTTTATTTTTTTATTTTTAATAATTCTTATTTAAATACAGTTCAATCTGTAACGGAGACCTTACAAAAATTGCAAAAAAAAAAATTATCAAACTTCAAAAAATTGTCAAGATTTCCAAATTTTTAATCAGAATATTTATAAAATTTTCGGGTATGCAGTTCTGTAGCGTATTCAATTGTACACCCCTATGCTGTAATCCGTCGTAGATTCGATTTTGCTACGAATCTTAAAATTGGTATGCTGTAATCCGCGTTGCCGTATCGTAATTTCGAAATTCGGAGACCATATTCGAAATTCGTAATGTTGGTATGCCTGAATCCGACGTAGCTGTAATTTGTATGTATTTGTCGGAAATTTTCTACGAAGAGCAACTGGTGTCGGAGCGAAGCGAATTCTTTTAAAATATCAATAAAATAAAGTGTGGAAACGCAAAAATATGTATGTAAGTTGAAGTGTGAATAAAAAACAATGTATTATTAAATGTTTACAAAATTATCAAGTCGACAATCACAACAAATCGCTCGCAATACGAAAAACTGGTGAAATGCATGAGCGAAAGGCCGGACATTGCCCGAGGCTTTGTAATAGTTAAAGAGGATGTGGTGGAATTTTGGGAAAGCGTTGCAAGATTTAAAGCAACACAATTAGTCTGTTCCAATAGCAGTCCGGTTTACAGGATTTAGTCAGAACTTACAGGAAGTCGTTCCTATTGACACAAAACCTGTAAGTGGGAACGCATTTGAGAGAGTAAATGAGCAACTGTTCCTAGTCAGAAGTTACAGGATTTAGTCCGGAGATTTTTTTCCTGTAAGTTCATGAAAAGTGTCAAACGATCAGCTGATTTACATGTGCAAACAAAAACAGAAAGCAGTGAAAGCAAAGAAGCTTATATTTGTTAAAAAATGGAAGTAAACAACGAAATATTTGAATATGTATAAATTTTAATAATTATTTAGTGATATTTCAGCCAAATCGGTGTAGTACCAATGACATGTAAACAAACCGTCTGACGTTTTTACAGGAAATAGTGCTTTTTGCGTTCCTATGCACTTCTGCATCTGTTCTCCTTTTACTCTCATTTGAGAGCGTAAAATTGTAGTTTGACAGTTCCACAGGTTTTAGTCCGAAGTTCAAAGGAACAAACTAAATATTTAGTTGAATGGACGCCCTTAAAAAGAGGGAGCATATATTTATCATTTAAGCTAAATGGATCAGAACTGTCTCGTAGCAATCTCCTTTGTATATTAATGCAACAGTTGACTGCAGCATGTTCTTCCTCCTGAGTGAAAAGTGCACCGGCCACTGAATCCATTCTATTTTACTTAATTAAGGAAAAGCTTTTTCAAATACGATTAAACAATTTTTTTTTAATTTCACTGTTCACTTGCGATTATATTTATTTTGATTTGTTTCTGTCAAAGCAGCTGATTAAGAACTTCGAATTTCACTAGTTTAGTTGGTAACGCCGTTGATAGTTACGATCGGATTACAGCATACCAATTTTCGAATTTTCGGAACGGAGCTACGAATTCGTAACTACGAACTTTCGGATTACAGCATAGGGGTGGTAGTCTAAGAAAGTGTAGTCGTTAAAAATTCCCTTCATTTTTTTATATTTTTTTTGTGGAGGGTATTGCGCATTTTCTTCCATATAACACATGATATATATTTTTTTTTATATGAGACATGCTCTTTCTTAAACTAAAATTTAATAGGCTACAGAACTGCATAGCCGAAAATTTTCTAAATATTTTGATTAAAAATTTGTAAATTTTGATGACAATTTTTGGAAGTTTGATTAATTTTTTTGCAATTTTTGCAAGTTTTGAAACTTTTAATTTTGCGGTTTTTACAGATCAAATATATTTTAAATGAAAATTATTAAAAATGAAAAATAAACACAATTTTCAAACAATAGTTGGTTTAGTTGTATTTGTTTACTTATTTCCAGTAAAAGTTTTTATGAATTTTCATATTTCGGCGTTTTCATAAGCAAAACCGTGCAAAGTAGGGGAAATTGGGAGAGCGACAGCTGAAGTTGCAAGTTTTTACTGGATAAATTTTTACTTGTAAGAATTTGCCAGTACGGAAAACAGCTGATCGCATGTTGTCGGATGTAATTTAAGTTAATAAGGAAACTGTTTATGGGTTTTTATTGTTGAAATTTACAAAATAAACCAATATAAATATAAAATATATAGTTTCATTGAGAATTTGCTTCTAATAAACAAGAAATTTATCAGCTGTTCATGAAACTTGCAAATTATTACTAAATTTGCGTTCGCGTACTTTTTTGGATATTTTTTCTATGAGAGCGAATTCTTATAAATTAAGGTACTGGAGAGTTGCTGGCAAGCTACTGGATAATTTGTAAACAAAAGTTGTGTTTGTAGTGTAAAATCCAGTACAAACTTGCAACTTTGCAGGTTTTTGCATACGAAAACGCCAAAACATGAAAATTCGTAAAAACTTTTACTGGATTTTATTGGAAATGAGTAAACAAACACAACTGTTATCATTTTGAATTTCGGTTCCTATTAGTTGAACGCAGGTGTACATTACATACATGTGTACAAATATGTACATACATATGTATGTACAAGTGTGCAAGTATGTACATACATATGTATGTATGTAACTCTGTGCTTTTATGTTGATATTTACTTTCATAGATAACACAGAATTAATTACATACATACTTTAATTCTATTTTCTCCTAACAAATTTCTATAATCCATTTCTTTTCCTATCCATGTGTATATTGTATGTTTGTATGTTCAAAGGTATACAAATTATAAAAATAAGTTATTCCACGAAATTGCGAAAATTGTGGCGGTTTCTTCTAATTAATTAAATGCCAAAGCACTGGCACTTTTTTGGAACGTTGCAATTTGCATATTTCTTTTGAAACCATAAACATATTTAAAAATGTTGCTATTGTATAAAACAAGTTTACCATATTTACGTACCTACTATTAGCTTTGACCGCGACCATAACAATGATTTATAAACATCCATGTGTTTGCCATATTTAAGAGCTTGCGTGTACATATGTGCATACATACGAAAGTGTGTATATAAATATAAATATACATACATACATGCATAGGTACATTTTAGTTATTTACATTTCCAGCCACATACCATATTTGTATGGTTCAGCTACCTACATGCATAATTTGTATGTACTTCACGGTGCCCCTTCGATTATTATACATACCTTCATACTTATGTACGTATCAAATGGTACTCACTTCATCGCTTGGTGTATTTCCTGTGGTAGATATTGATAAATAGAGATAAGATGTATTTCCAATTCGTCGCTGAATGAGTTTTGGAACTTTTTTCTAGAACACGAGCGATAAGAGAAGCTAGAAATTACAGGATTTACAGGCAAAACGCCGACTCCATTACGTAGAGACAGCACTGCACAATTCTTTCCTTTTTCATTCTGATATATTCTAGATCACATCAATAACTTTTCAAATATTAAAACACTCATATTTCAATAATTTTACTTTATCGCACTGCACTATAAAGAATTTGCAGGCGCGCACCAGAATATATGCATTTAGATTAATATAATAAACACAAAAATCGTCTCAGACTATCTCACGGACAAAACAATACCGAGCGTTAGAGATGAAGGTACTCGTGTGAATAGTTCAGATTGCTTTTATCGCTGTGTTTTGTACTTGCGCGGCATACGAAGTCGATTGCGCGATCAGTATTGCACATAAGTATCATAGAGATCTATCGATTTCTGTGTTATTGTGAATGGCTGTCAGCATTTGTTGCGCCGATTGCACCCCGATTTCACCGGCGTTGTAAAATGAATGAAATCTAGTTGTTTGCGCAAATCATATTTCGTGGATTGTAGGATTGAGGATATGTGTACTAAAACCGGAGCTGAGGGTAAATTCTCGTTCTGCGTTATTGCTAAGTGATAAAAATAACACTTTTACACCGCATTTATTTCGGTGTTTATTTTATACTTTTCACTTCACTTTACGATAACGCAGAACGGGAATTGTCCCTCTGCGCACTTTATGATTACGATTACATTTTGATTACTTAGAATTAATTACTTAGAATTACGATTACTGTACTTACGAGATAAACGCCATTGCCTGTCGCTTTTTGTTTTTTATTTTTTGTTGTTGGGCTGAACCGGGCTTGAATCCAGGCTCTGAGAAATGGTAGCGCGCACTGCTAATCACTACACTACAGCGCACAAAGGGGATTTTTCGACAAGTTATGTTCAAAAATCCTAGAGAAGGCAATTTTTCACCGATTTTAATAATTTTTTTTTT